GGGACTGTAGGGAGGACTCGGTGTTTGGGGACTGTAGGGAGTATGTTTTTTCATGTTTTCTCATCTCTCTGAAGGTATCAGAAGGAATATAGCGAGCTGAAACGTCAGCAGCTGGAGCTGGATGATGAGCTGAGGAGTGTGGACAACCAGATGAGATTCGCCCAATTCCAGCTCGATAAACTAAAGAAAACCAACGTCTTTAACGCCACGTTTCACATCTGGTAAGATCCCTATTAATCCCACGCGTGAGGACCGTCCTATGACCTTCCCACCCAGGAAGTCCCCAGTTGGTTGCTATTGGTGATGGATGTCTTACCGTCTTAGTGCGTTTCTTTGGTCAAGGGTTGAGGAAGGGGTGTGGCTCTGTACCTGTAGTCCTGGAGGAAGGGGTGTGGCTCTGTACCTGTAGTCCTGGAGGAAGGGGTGTGGCTCTGTACCTGTAGTCCTGTATCTGTAGTCCTGGAGGAAGGCGTGTGGCTCTGTACCTGTAGTCCTGGAGGAAGGCGTTTGGCTCTGTACCTGTAGTCCTGGAGGAAGGGGTGTGGCTCTGTACCTTTAGTCCTGGAGGAAGGGGTGTGGCTCTGTACCTGTAGTCCTGGAGGAAGGGGTGTGGCTCTGTACCTGTAGTCCTGTATCTGTAGTCCTGGAGGAAGGGGTGTGGCTCTGTACCTGTAGTCCTGTATCTGTAGTCCTGGAGGAAGGCGTGTGGCTCTGTACCTTTAGTCCTGGAGGAAGGGGTGTGGCTCTGTACCTGTAGTCCTGGAGGAAGGGGTGTGGCTCTGTACCTGTAGTCCTGTATCTGTAGTCCTGGAGGAAGGCGTGTGGCTCTGTACCTGTAGTCCTGGAGGAAGGCGTTTGGCTCTGTACCTGTAGTCCTGGAGGAAGGGGTGTGGCTCTGTACCTTTAGTCCTGGAGGAAGGGGTGTGGCTCTGTACCTGTAGTCCTGGAGGAAGGGGTGTGGCTCTGTACCTGTAGTCCTGTATCTGTAGTCCTGGAGGAAGGGGTGTGGCTCTGTACCTGTAGTCCTGTATCTGTAGTCCTGGAGGAAGGCGTGTGGCTCTGTACCTTTAGTCCTGGAGGAAGGGGTGTGGCTCTGTACCTGTAGTCCTG